AAATGGAGGAGTGAGTCACATAGTGAGCAGCCATGCTTAGCATCAGTGACTCTTCCTGTTGGGGGCTAGGATGCTGACTCCTGACTTTCTCAGGGTGATAGAGAACTACTTGGACTGTTGATCCTTAGGATGTGGTTGTATTTTCTTTGCCTTTTGTCTTGAGCTGTGGCCCACAGTGGGAAGTGATTGTCTCTTCCAAGGCTGCAAGGTATCTGAACTTCTGCTTTGGCACCTTTGAGGGCCCCACCCTTTTTGACTGTCTATACTTCTAACTAGCTCAGTAACACTGTCACTTTGATCCTAAGGGGAAAAGATCAAGCTCTCACCTAGAAGTTTTGAGGCTTGTAAAGTATAGATGGCCAGGTTTACTGAAATATAACTTACTGTTTGATTCATTTACTTAAAATTATTCATATTTAATAGCTGAGTCCATTTAGAACATTTTGTTTTGCTATTAAAGTAATCTAGCCTCTTTTTTCTTCTATTTTCTGAGCCATATAAATGAGTAATCTCCTGTATATACATTTTCATATTGTGGCCATTTTTTTAAGTGGATGATTCAGCATTGTCTCTGTCCCTCTTTTCTACATGGCATTTGCCATATATTATGGCATTTTTCCCCCCAAAAATCTTTCTATTTATGAAAGACTGTTGTTATGGAAAGTTTTAAATATTGGTTATTCATCAGTTTGTGGACATTTCAATTGTTTCTACACTTTAACTTTTATGTACACTAAATGAAAATGTTATCGTAAAATGCAGTACTATTTCTTTTCTGTTTGTGTACCAGAGATTGAAGTCATGAACTTGAGCTTGCCAGGTGCTAACACCACTGAGCTAAATCCCAGCCTGCTTTGCTATTTGTTAAATGTACCAAATTCACATGCATATCAGTGAAGTGTGGAACAAAGGGTGCAGATGAGAAGTTATTGAGTAAGATAACTTATCTTAGATGATAAAGATATCGAGTAAGAAAAGTTCCTGGAGCAGAAAGGAGTGTCAAAGTGGGCTGTAACCAAAGCTCATGAGTTTTTCATTTTTAAAAGATCATAAAACCCAATGAAACAAGGCAGTGAAATTGGTATAGAACTTCAAAGCAGGATAATAGGAAAACAATCGCCACCATAGTATATCTTGTTATCTTCACAATAGCTGTCTGTTCCATCAGATATAGCAAAATCAAACCAGAACAAAACTAGTCTAAACAAAACATTGAATAAAGCAATACAATTAATTGGAACAAAGCAAAACAAAGAGAACAATATTGGATTTCAAGAGCAAGATAGAAGGAAATCCCTCATATTTGCTACATTGTATACTGTTATTCTCCCTATAGATGCTCAGACTGCAAGTTCCAGGCCTTCAAAGTCAACCAAGCAATAGAAGCATCTCAGTTGCTATCAACTGAACCTGTCTTCCAAACCAGCCTGTTGCTTATGGGGCGAAGGAGTCAGGAAGTTGGTGATTGTCACCCCTTGTGTCATTAGGCTCATGGGAGGCTATCTGACTTTTGTCTTCCTGGGCCTCACATGCCTTGCCCCATGAAGTTTTTATACAGTAAAATTTCATTGTCTAGTAGCATTTTATACAGTCAAAATTTTACACATTACCTAGAGGGATGTTAAAATCCATCTATTGACTTACAAATACAATTAACTGCTATTTATCTAATACTAAAATGAAGTGTATAGCAAGGATTCACCTACAGGAATCAGTACCTTCAGTTTATCTGTAACTGTTAGTACCAAAAAGAACAAAAGTATTCTTGGAAGGAGTAGCGGAAAGGGTCATGGTATTCTGAATGTCCACCTTGTTCCTTCATGGGGCTTACCTGAACAGTAGGTACTAATTATAGTGCACCTTTGAATTGTCATTTACCTTTGGTGAGCCTTGTGGGACAAGTCATCATGGCTCCATCTTGTGGTGTGGTTTCTACAAGCTTAGGCATCATGTGCTGAGTTCACTTCTTCTGAGAAGTGGCTGTGTATTGTGCCTGGTCCTTTCCCATCTGCCAGTCAATAAATATGTAACATAAATAGCTTCAATATAAAAATTCATGTATGCTTCTATATTGTTTAAATTTTTATTATAAAGAACAAAAAGAATAAAAACAATGGTACAGAGTTTGAGAACAAAATAATAGGAGGTTAATACTGGTGAAGGTATTCCATATTGTTTTCTTCAAAGTAGTTCTTCAGATTAGAAGATATAGGCATCAAACAGTTGAACAATGAAAACACAAACTTTTTTTGAACGAACTAACAGATTACTAGTATATTTATCTATCTTGTATATATATGTATATATTTGTAATATATAAAGATTTTATAAATATGTATATATGTACACACACATACAATCTTTTCCCTTCTATTTTTCCTCCTTTTTCTCCTTTCCTCTATCTTAGCTGTTCTTTCCATTTCAGCAGTTTCTGTGCTTTTCACTTTCACTGTATCTAGTATACATTTTGGATCCCATACAGTCCTTCAGTTTTACATACCAGGGAGACAATACAGTATCTACATATTAGAGTCTGATTTATTTCACCTATAAGCATGGTTACAAATCACATCTATCTACCTATAAAAGCCTCAAGTTTATCCTTCTTCATAGCAGAGTGATATTTCACTGTATAAAATGCCACCTTTTTTTATCCATTGTGCAGCTCATGGGCATCTGGGTTGCTTCCAAGATTCATCTATTACAAATTGTGCTGCTGGAAACATAGATGCGCTTTGGCACAATGCCTTCAGCTCTCCTGGGAAAATACCCAGAAGGGGACTAGAAGGGTAGTTCTTGAGGAATCTCCACAGTGGCTGTACCCATCCATACTCTCACCAACAGTGGAGAAGAGTTCTTCTTTCCCCACAGTCCTGCCAACATTTCTTACTGTTTGATCTGTATGACAGCCGTTCCTTCTGGAGTGAGGTAGGATCCCAGTACTGTTCCAATTTGCATTTCTCAGATGATCAGAGATGTAAAACATTTCATCAAATATTTATTTGCTGTTTGTGTCTCAGATACCCATTCCTGGATTAGGTTCCTCATCTTGGGGGGTCTGACTTTTAAACAAGTTATCCACATGTTCTAGATAGAAGTCCTTGGCCAAAATTCCTTGGCACTCTGTGAATCCTCCCCCAACTCTGCTGGGGACTTCCCTTGACATGCAAAAGCCCTTCAATAAAATGAGATCCCAGCTGATCTCAGATCCCTGAAGTACCTCTCCTGTAGTTTGCATTTTGCCAATAAACTCATTGCTCAACACTTCTACTTACCATGTCCTCTAGCGTAACCAGTGTCTCTCTTTTAATATTCAGATCCTTTATCTATTTTCACTTTATTTTTGTGTATGGTGATTGAAAATTGGTCCAACTGCTGTCTTTGGCATGACGAAAGCCAGTGTTTTCAGCACCATTTATTAAAGAGGCTATCTTTCTTGCAGTGAACATGTTTGGTCCCTTTGTCAAAGATATGGGAACTGAGTGTCTTTGTAGTTCTGTCTGTGTCTTCTAATCTGTTCCACTGCCTTCAGGTTTGGTTTTTTTTTCCAGGGGATATTATATGTGTGGCATTTTGAAGCTTCCTACCATGCTTTTGTTTCCCAAAATTACCTTTGCTATTCTAGGTCTCTTCCATTTCTAAATGAATTTTAGGAATGTTTTCTCTAGATCTATAATATATGCTAAGGGTATTTTGAACAGAATTACATTTAATCTGTATAACAGTTTTAGGAGTACGGCCATTTTCACAATGTTGCTTCTTCTATGCAAGAGCAAGGAATATTTTTCCATTTTGTGATATCCTCTTTAATTTCCTTTTTCAGAGTACTGTAGTTTTCAATATATAGATTGTTTTACATCCTTGTTAGATTGATTCCTTAGTATTTCAATTTGGGGATTGATAGAGTTTTCGGCATGGCTATAAAGATAAGAAGTATGAAATAAAAGTGGCCTTTATTTTAAGAATGTGGAGAGAGACTCTAAGACCTCCGGGGTCTGGCATTCTCTCTGCCCGACACGTGGTGTGGGGGCATACATGTAGCTTAGGTTTGGGGTGAAGCCTAAGGGGCATTACTGATGCACAGGTAGACCATTGGAATTCATTTTGCACCACAGGTAAATTGCTTAGGGGTGGGGAAGATGACCTCAAGGTAGAGCCTTTGGTTCCACCTCTCAACCTCCCACCACTGCAGCTTCCCATCCAGGGCACAAAATCCTTTCAGGGATGCCATTGTGAAAGGTGTTATTTCCATAATTTCTCTCTCAGTAAGTTTGTTGTATACAAGGATGCTATTGAGTTTTGAGTGTTAAGTTTTTAAACATGTATGCTGCTGAATTTGCTTATAAACTGTAGTAGTTTTTTGGTGGAATTTTTGGCGTCTTCTATGTAAAGTATCATGTCACCTGCAATTATAATTAAACTTCTTCCTGTTCTACCTTATTCCTTTTATTTGTCTCTTGTCTAATTGCTCTGGCTAATGTTTCCAGAACTATGCTGATTAGAGTGGTGACAGTGGAGATTCTTGTCTTGTTCCTGATTTGTTTTTGTGAATTTGGTATGATTTTGGCTGTTGGTTTGTGATAGGCAGTTTGAAGTACAGACCCTGTATTTTGATTTTCTGTAGGCATTTATCATATATGTGTGTTAGAGTTTATGAGAAGGCTCTTCTGCATCTTTGGCTCTGTTGATGTGGTGTATTACACTATGATTTGCATATGTTGAACCATCCCTGCATTCCTGGCATGAATCCCATTTGGTCATATTATATAATCATCATGATTTGCTGCATGTTGTTTGCAAGTGTTTTATTGAGAATTTTGGCATTTGTGTTCATCAGGGAGATCAGCTTAAAGTTCTCCTTTTTGGTTGGGTGTTTTACTGGTTTTGGTATCATAGTAATTCTTGCCTCCAGGAGTGAGATAGAGAGAACTGCTTTCCTTTCAATTGCATGAAAGAGTTTGAGGCATACTGGCACTAAATCTTGTCTAAATTTCTTATAGAATTCAGCTGAGCATTCATCAGGATGAGGCCTTTTCTTTTTGGTAAGTTTTTAATTACATTTCAAATTTGAGTAATTGATACTGGGTAATTAAATTATTTATATCATCTTGATTTACCTTTCGTAATTCATACATGTTTAACAATTTCTTCTATGTTTTGCAGTTTGTGTGTGTAAAGATTTTAAAAGTAGGTTTTGATGATTTTCTTGTATTACACAAAATCTTTACTAATTTTACGCTTTCTATTCCTCGTTGAATTTAGTTTTTGCTATCCTTGATGATGTTGCTTAGAGGCTTGTTAATGTTGTCTGTTCTTTTAAAGAACCAGGTCTTCAATTCATTAGTGCTTTGTATTGTTTTCTTGGTCTCAGTTGCATTAATTGCTGCTCTGATCTTTATAATTTTCCCTCTTCTATGAGTTTTGGGCTTGACTTGGTCTTTTTCCAGAAGTTTGAGGGGGCATCAGGTTGTTTATTTGTGCTCATTCTGTTTTCTTGATGGGGAAATTCACTCCTGTAAACTTTCTGCTTCTTTAGACTTTGTGGGGTATGTGAGTCAAGGTCTCTTTGTATTTCAGACAGCTCTGTAACTGAGGCTGACCTCAAACTCAAGGCAGTTCTTCTGCATCAGCCTCCCAAGTGCTGGGATTGCAGTCATATACCACCATACCTGCTTGAAATGCTCCTTTTGTGCCTACTTACTTTGTGGTACATGAGTTTTCAATGCATATAATATATTTTATTCATCTTACATTACTCTGCCATAGAATCTCTTATATGTCAGTTAGTGACACAGAGCTATAAGACAGTTTGCAGCTGTAGCCTGTTTTCCCTGTTCATAGACATCACAATAAAACTGCTTCCATTCACACTTTAATTATTATTTATATACCATATTGATGTTCTATTATGTTTTTATTCTGTGAAACCAAATTTAAGTTTCAAAGTGCTGCTCAAGTACAATTAAAGGAAGAAGTGAATGCCATATGTAATGAGATTTACAGAGACATAACTATGATGTGTCAGTGCAAATCACTAGATATTCATCTTTCTCTGTGCTCTGTGGGTCTTGTAGGCTCCCACTGTGAGCTCTGCTTTAGAAACAGTGCATGAATATGTTCACGGTGACTCAGGAAAACAAGTATTGCTCCTATTCTGCTGTTGCCTTAGCAATGAGTTGCTATCTAGCATCAGAATTTCTTTCTACAAAACTGCATTCACATGTGATTGAGGACCAAGTTATAGAATTAAGATTTGTAGGATGCAGTCTCCATTCAGCTGTTTTGTTCTGTTTTGCCTTGCCTTGTTTTATTGAGACAGGCTCTGAGCATGTACGTTAGCTGACCTTCAACTCACTGAGGAGGCCACATTGCTCTGAAACTCATGTAAATCCTCTTGCCTCAGCCTCCTGAATACTGGGATTACAGATATGCACCATCACACTCAATTCAACTTTTTGTCAGGCAAGGTAATACATCCCAGGCTGCGATTTTCAACTTTCTTTTGAGAAATACATGTCTGATCATTTAGGAGGCAGTGACCTTTGAGGATGTGGCTGTGAACTTTAGCAGTGAGGAATGGGCTTTGCTGAATCCATCCCAAAAGGAGCTCTACCGAGATGTGATGGGAGAAACCTTTAGGAACATGGCTGCTTTAGGTAAGAAGGACGTCTCTTTCTCTGTTACACTCAGAAATTGTTGGTTGCTCATCACTACTGTTTTTATTAAAATGAATGTGAAAGCATTTTAAAGAATAGAGGCTGGGGATTTAGCTCAGCGGCATAAGCACCTGCCTTGCAAGCAGGTGGTCGTGAGTTCGATCCCTGGTACCGATAAAAAGTAAAAAAAAAAAAAAAAAAAAGAATAGCTTAGGTTTGCTTCCATTTTATCCTGAATCTAATGGAAATCTATTAATATTTATGTATTATTATACTGAGTCCCTATATATCTTTGTTTGCAATTCAGGAAGCCCTGGTGACAACCAAGAAGTTGAAACAGAATACAAAAGTTACTGGAAACATCTAAGGTAATTTTTACTTCCAAAGACAAAGAATGTGCTCCAGAGTCAGTGCATGAGCAGAAACATGACAGCCAAGAAAATGAGGCAGAGTTCTATTTAATTTCAGTTATATTCTTCCAAGATATAGCAGATGTATCCAGATTGAGTTTATAACCTGATAATAGAATTGTCAAAATGTCTCAAAATGCATTTAGATATTGTATATTGATGAATTTGAAAAGAATAAACTTTGATTTTTTTTTTTTTTTTGTCCCTGGTACCGATAAACTTTGATTTTTAACAGCAATCCATCTGTAGGGTATCTACTTATGTATAGATACATAAGTATCTATACACAATATAACACATTCAGTATCTAAAAGTTGCTAACCTTGTGGCAGTATAAAGTATAAATGAATTCTAGTGTTTCAATACATTTTTCAAGCCAATTTCTGATAATTGAGGCCATTCTGATCTAACATTCCTGGTTGATTGCTAAGCAGAATCATTATGACAGTCAGTATGCAGATGTCTCTAAAGGACATACTTCCCCCGGGTATATTGTCAAAAGAGTAAAAATTCTCATTTTGTACGCATGCATGCATACCCATATTCAATGCATCTCAACTTATTACTAGGAAGCCCTTGAATAATCTTAGACATCTGTCACTGGATGCATGGATAAGGAAAATTATTGTTAGGCTCTCTGTGATTGTGCATTCTTGTAAACTAAGCATCTGGGAGGCAGAATCTTCAGAATGGCAAGTTGAAACTGTGCCTGAATCAGTATTTAATCATTCATGAGAATGTCTCAAAATAAGAAATAATAAGATAGAGGTTTTGTGCTAAGACCTCTGTTTCATTCCCAGCACTGAAAAGACAATGAAATGTGCTATAATATTAGCCAAAAAGGTACATAGTATCTTGTGCATGGAAAAAAGAAATAGATGGATCTTCTTCTAACACTGTAAAGTGAAAAAGCTCAGATGAAAAATGGGAAATGACCAAAAGAAAGAAAGAAAGAAAGAAAAAATACAAGTGTCACATGGTTTCTTTTTTGTGAGAGGGCCGGGGATTTAGCCCAGTCGTATAAGTGTCTGCTTCGCAAACTTGAGGTCGTGAGTTCAATCTCTGATACAAAAAATTAATAAATAAATTTATACAGAAATTTCAAACTCTCTTTTATGAGAAACCAAAAATTCTAAATTAGTAAACTAAAGGAGAACTGAGAGAGAAAGGAAAGACTCACTTCTTCCCAATGGGAAAGACAGAATAAAAACAGAAGGGAGAGATGATGAAGAAATAGTTTTAAGGTTGTTAACATATGGTATATGTAAGTACTCCATACTGCAAAGGAAGATGAAACATGCATTTCATATTGTAACAACTTTAAAATTGGCAAATGAATACCAGTGTTTTTTTGATTTTTGTATCCTACAAGGCACTCAGTTAACTGATTGTCAACATTTCTTAGCAGGCATCAAAACAGAACTTATTTTTGTAAAACATTCATGTGAAAACCCATTCTTTGTGTCATTTTGCTTTACAGAAATGAAGATTTAGAGAAATGCTATCAACATGTATCTTGGAATCAGTATAAAGAAGTATTACTTTGTACTCCAGATGCTAAAAAGGATGTGAAAGAAACAAACACACACAGTGATGCTCAGATCCATAAAAGAAATCACACTGGAGGGGAACCCTATGTATGTAAGCTGTGTGGGAAAGCTTTCAACACAGGCAAATCTTGTCGAATACATGAAAGAACACACTCGGGGGAGAAACCCTATATATGTATGCAATGTGGGAAAGCTTTTGGCAGCAACTCTCATTGTCGAAGACATGAAAGAACTCACACTGTGGGGGTACCTTATGTATGTAAGCAGTGTGGGAAAGCTTTCAGCAGGTTCAGTGAATGTAAAACACATGAAAAAATTCACAAAGGGGAGAAATACGTATGTAAGCAGTGTGGGAAAGATTTTGCTACACTTGGATCTTATCAGAAACATGAAAGAATTCACACTGGGGAGAAACCCTATCTATGTAAGCAGTGTGGGAAAGCTTTCAGTACACGCAAATCTTGTCGAACCCATGAAAGAACACACTCAGGGGAGAAACCGTATATATGTAAGCAGTGTGGGAAAGCTTTCAGCAGAAACACTCATTGTCGAAGACATGAAAGAACTCACACTGGGGAGAAGCCCTATGTATGTAAGCAGTGTGGAAAAGCTTTCACCACACAGAGATCCTGTCAACAACATGAAAGATTTCATACTGGGGAGATACCCTTTGTATGTAAGCAATGTGGGAAAGCATTTACCAGACGTGGAAATTGCCAACAACATGAAAGAATTCACTCTGGAGAGAAACCCTATGTATGTAAGCACTGTGGCAAAGACTTTACCACACGTGGATCATGTCAAATACATGAAAGAACTCACACTGGAGAGAAACCCTATGTATGTAAGCACTGTAAGAAAGGATTCATCACACGTGCATATTGTCAAATGCATGAAAGACTTCACACTGGGGAAAAACCTTATGTATGTAAGCAATGTGGCAAAGCTTTTACCACTAACAACTCTTGTCAAATACATCAAAGAACACACACTGGGGAGAGACCATATATATGTAAGCATTGTGGGAAAGCTTTTGGGACAAAACGTCATCGTCAGTCACATGAAAGAGTTCACACTGGGGAGAAACCCTATATATGTAAGCATTGTGGGAAAGCTTTTAGCACAAAGGGATCTTGTCAAATACATGAAAGAATTCACACTGGGGAGAAACCTTATGTATGTAAAAAATGTGGGAAGGCTTTTACCACACATGAATATTGTCAAATACATGAAAGGATTCACACTGGGGAGAAACCCTATGTATGTAAGCAATGTGGGAAAGCTTTTTCTGCTCACAACTCTTGTCAAGTACATGAAAGAACACACACTGGAGAGAAACCATATATATGTAAGCAATGTGGGAAAGCTTTTGGCACAAAACGTTATTGTCAAACACATGAAAGAATTCACACTGGGGAGAAACCCTATACATGTCAGCAGTGTGGGAAAGCTTTTGGCACAAAACGTTATTGTCAAATACATGAGAGAATTCACACTGCGGAGAAACCCTATATATGTAAGCAATGTGGGAAAACTTTCACCACACAGGGGTCTTGTCGAAAACATGAAAGAATTCACAATGGGGAGAAACCCTATATAAATAATCAGTGTCTGAATGGTTTGAATAGGTACAATGAATATGAAATACATGAAAGAGCCCACACTTTTGTTTATCCCATGTATGGAAGCAATGTTGGAACTCTTTCAACAAGCACAGTGAATGTAACATACATGAAGGAACTTACACAGTTAGAAAATCTATGTATTTAAGGACCGTGGAAAACATTTACCACATGCAGGTCTTATCAAATAATTAAAAGATTTTACAATGAAGGAAAAGTGCATGTATGTAGCCAGTGTGGGAAAACTTTCACCAGGTACAGAGAATGTAAAATAGATGAGAGATTTGCATGGGGGAGAAACCCTATGTATGTAAACAGGGTGGGAAAGCTTTTATCACATGCAGATTTTCTAAAATATATGAAAGTATTGACACTGAGGAGAAACCTCATATATAGAAGCAATGTTGCAAAGCTTTCACCAGGCACAGTGAATGTAAAATTTGTGAAGGCTCACACTCTGTATTAATCCTGTGCATGTGAGTAGTGTGGGAATATTTTTAGCACACATGATGACTGTCACATTTATGAAACAGCTTACTGGGAAGAAATCCTATGTTGATAAGCAGGGAAAGATGCCGGTTCACACGCTTTGTGAAATACAGGAAAGAATCCTCCCTGGGTAGAAAGCTTGTATATGTAATCTATTTTGAAAACCCTGTGACAATTTCTCCTGTAGTGGAGACCTGAGCAAATAATTCATAGAAAATGCAGCTGCCAATTTTTCTTCACAAGTTTTCCAAAATACAAATCCCAGGTGGTACTATCGTAAAGTACACACACTGAGTCATTTTCAGTAAATCACTTATGCATCATATCTAGATTATGCATCTGTAGGGTTCAAAATAGAAATGGATGGCATAATTTTGTATATTTGAGTGTCTGCTCAATGCATATTGTCTAATGAAACATTGTGAACTAAAATGTGCCTTTCACTTTGTACACTTAGTGTCTACATAGTTAGTGTTGTGTGTTTAAAATTGGGTTATGTGCCCCACTAAAACTACTTAGTTTTTATTGTTTTCTGTTAACTGTTGAGATATGGCCACTATGGTTTAAAATTTTGGTATATAAACTATTTTCAATGTAACAAATTATATTTCTGAATTTGATGTTACCTTTTATATTAAGATATATTTTTTAGAGGCTTGTGAACGTGTTTTTGACAAAGTTAGGGGTTGGCACACAATTTGTAGATTAGCAAATGTTATGTTTCTCTGGAGGAAACCTGCTTATACCCTTACATCATTGTATATTATATCATGTACAAAATGTTGCATGATTTTCTTTCTTACCAAAGCCAATATAATTCTTAATAATTTTTATATTCTTATCAAAATTTTACTTTTGATATTTTCATTGCAATTAAATTAATTTCATGTTGTTTTCCACCACATGTACCATGTACCAACAAACAAAAAACCATGCTGCTGTGAATTTTTTACTCTGCCGATCTGCAGAACCAAAACTTCTCTCCAGAAGCATATCATGAATTATAGTGCTATCTCCCAAAAGTGTAAATGGTGATATGATTTATCAATAACACAATTTTGAAAAGAATTCTTGTCAGCTGTGGATGGGTTTTTGGCAGCATGGTTGCTGTTGAATATACAAGTCAAATGCCTTCTTTCTACTCCCTGATGCTGTGATGCCATTCTATCTTTGGCAATCATAGTTTTTACCCAATTGCAATGGCGTGAAGCAAAACCTAACTCATGTGAAGTGTCAGTTGGATAAAAAGGGAATTTACTAAGCTATAATTCAGACTGTTTTTCTTTGACTAACTTTTGAGACAATTTTCTGCAGTGCCATTTCTCATTGTTTATAATAAGGACCACTGCCTGATGTTTGCAGTGTGTGCCAGTTCTCTACAAACACATACACTGGGCCACGGTGTGTGTGTGTGTCTCAGGTGGTCTCTTTTGACTGTATTTTTTTACTCTTTCTAACATAGCTGTAATTGCAAAGTACTGTTTAAAACTACTCACGAATATAAAAGCAGCACAATTTGTGATGGCATTATGTTGTTACAAGCCTATAGTATCATGAAAACATGTGAGCATTCATTAAGTATTCCTAATGCAGTGAGTATAATTTGCCAGTCTTAATTATGATTATACACGTAAATTATATACAAGTTGTGTAATATCATCTAATATTATGTCTTTTTTTTGGTACCGGGGATGGAACTCATGACCTTACACTTGCCAAGCAGACACTTAAGCCAACTGAGGTAAATCCCTGGCCCAAAGACTATTTTTTTAAATCTGAAATATAATCATAGAAGAAAAGACGCTGTTCAGTGTCAATCTTTATACCCTACAACATGTGCAACTTCCCTGCTGCACATTTCTGCTTACTGTTACCAGGAAGATGTGCAGTGTGTGATGCTATTCTGTCTAGTAATAGAATATTGGAGCTACAAGACATTTATCCTGAGTACATGCACTTTCTCATTATTTTGCCATGAAGACAAATCTTGCTGGTGCTGCTGATGCATGCTTGTAATCCCAGCAACTCAGAAGACTTGAGTGAAGAAAAAGTTAACTCCAGCCTACTCAACTTATTTTGAGAGCCTGTCTCAAAATGTAACATCAAGTTCTGCAGATGCAATTCAGTGCTTCAGTTCTAGGTTTGTTCCCCAGTAACAAAACTATTCAATGCTAGTACCCATTGGGCTTGTCCTTTTCTCATGTGACCTCTTAGTAGTTTGCCCCAAGCATCCTTGGGAAGTGCATTTGTTTATGGACTGACTGTACTGAGCATCGTAGGGCAGGTGTCATACTAACCAATTGATTATTGTGTTGAATACATTAGACAAAATTGTCATTTTTTATATTTCCTGTTATAGTATTTTATATGAATTTTTAAAAACATGAAAATTTTGGTCATCCCATAGTTAACTAATAGGACTGGTAAGTAAGTAATGTATAAAAATCTAAGCTAACTGGGATACATTTAATCCCAGGATCAGGAGAGACAGATGCAGTGATCACTGCTTTCAAGCTAACTTGGGGGCAACTTAGCTGCCACAACCCATGCTACTTCTGAGGTTTTTGGGTCAAGGACCATGAGAGGATGAGAAAAATAGAGAAGAGACAAAACTGGGGTCAGGTGGAGCCTTATCTTCCTGATGGGAGGAAAGGTACTGCTCAAGCAATGCAGCATGTTTATTCATATACTTGGAAGGATGATGTCAGTTTCAACCCCGCTAGCTAGTAACCCATTGCTTGGATTGTCTAAGGGCTTGGTATTTTTCTGGGCTATAACATCACATGTCTGGCCCAGGAACTCTTTGTTTTTGGGATGGTCATGTCCCTGCCATGTCTCACCTCGGCATGTGTGTGGTCAATTTCCAGCTTCAATGGCTCCCAACATTTAGGTAAAAACCTTGCTGAAGTATGAAGCAATTGTCTCTAAACCTGCATTTGAAGGTTAAGGAAAGAAACAATTTGAAGTCAAGAATGTTAATGTAAAATAGAATTGAATGATCACTATTGTAGTCAGGAGTTATGCAGAGAACAATTAGAATCAAGACATGGAGTTTATAATTAATTTTTTATAATGGTCCCCAGGAGTTAACACAAGAAACTGCAGGAAATCTATCCCCAACACCAAAAACATAGAATACTTAGTCAAGGCCTAAATCCCACAGCAATGTCTCACATGAGTCCTGATGAAAATGCAGAGCTCAGGACAATGCCTCCCACAAGTCCAGCTGGAAATCCAGAGCCCACAAGGACTTATGCTAGTCTCTTATGGATCCGTGCCAGGAAGGCCCAAAGGTCAGCTGTTGATATCCAGGAAGCCAAAAAAGAATGCAAAATTTACTGGAGATACTTAAGGTAATTCACACTCACAAGGAGAAGAATGTTCCTGAGTAATTAGTGAGTCAGCAGAAAAATGACTGCCAAAGAAATGAGGCACCATTCAATTTTTTTTTGTCTTTTTCCTTTTTATCGGTACCAGGGATCGAACTCACGACTGCCTGCTTGCAAGGCAGGTGCTTATGCCACTGAGCTAAATTCCCAGCCCCATTTTTTTTTGTTTGGCATCATTCAATTTAATGTCAGTAATATTCTCCAAAGATGTAAAAGCTGAGGCATGTATAATGAGGGAATCAAATCATGAAAATGTATGACTTTGCATATAGATGTGTATAAAAGGCATACACTTCGAGTTATGATGACATCCTGCCTTCAGTTTACCTACCGATATATACATGTGAATACAACACATTGATTATCTAAAAATTGCTGATTGCAGTAGAATTTGAAATAAAACTGAGTGCTCGTGTTTCCAAGCCATGCTTTAGAGAATCAGCCATTCTGATTAAAATTCTTAGTAGGCTGGTGGAATGGTAAGTGCACTCATTCTGAATATCAGTATGCAGTTGTCTCTAGGAGGTGATCCCCTCATATTTCTCCTTGATATATTTTTAAAAACTCAAAATCCACATAAAATACAGGTACATGCTTACTCATATACAAAGCAGATCAAGTTATAACAGATCAGACCTTGAAGAAGCTTAGCTATGTATCACTAGAGTTGTGGAGAAGAAAAATTTTATAGACTCTGTGTGATTGTGCATTCTTGTAAACCCAGCCCCCTAGGAATCAGATTTTGCAGAATGCCAAATTCAAGTTCAAACTTAATGGCTTAATGATCAGTGAAAGTCTTTAAAAAATAAAAAAAGATAGAGATGTTGTGCTAATACCTGTTGTTCATTCCCAGCATGGAAAAGAAAATAATTGCATTATATAATATCAAAAATAAATAATGTAATGTCATTTGCGACAAGAAATAGGTAGGCCTTTCTCCCATCAATTCAGTGAAATAGCTCAGCTATAAAACTTAAAGGTCACAGGGTTTCTTTTAGATGAGAAAGCAAAATATAAATTGTGGAATGAAATGAAAGAGAGTTGATAGAGAAAGGTAAGACTGATGATTTGGAGAAGGGAATTGCAGGTTAAGGACAGAAGGGAGAATGTGATAGGGAAACATATCAGAATGATCAGTATGTGATACACATATGTACCCATGCCCAAAGTGAAGCTAAATATTCTGCATTTCAAAAGGTATGAACTTTTAAGATCCCCAAATGTGTACCAGTCTTTTTGGAATGGTTGTTTTCAACATATCTAACAAGGCATTTGGTTGCTTCATTGTCAGAATTTCTTAGCAGGCATTAAAAACAGGACTTGACATTAATGCAGTCATTAACACAGAGACCCATTTCACTGTGATTTTTTTCTTTTTTTTTAAATTTTATTTAAAGAAAGATGAAACAAGGCAATAATTAGAAATGATACTACTTTCAAAGTGAAAATAAACGGTAAGAAATCACATTGATGATTATATGTGGTGCTCTTAGAAATAGTTAATCAAGATACAAAAGTGAAACATATGAAGTGAGGATTCAAACAGCAAGGCTGCAAACAGTTTTGTTCAACTCTCCAACAAAAACTGAGTGATATGGTTATCAATCCTATATGTGATTTTTTTCTTTACAGAAATGACAAGCTAGGGAAATCCTATGGATATAAATCTTGGAATCACTGTAAAGAAGTATTCCTTTGTAATGTCAGAAGGTAATGTGCATGTGAAAGAAACAGAAACACACCACCATGTTCAGATCCATGAAAAATATTGCAGTTGAGGGAAACCCTTTGGATGTAAGCAATGTGGGAAAGGTTTTATCACACATGGAATTTGTAAGAAACATGAAAGAATTCACAGAGGAGAAAGACCCTACATATGTAAGCAATGTGGGAAAGCTTTTACAACACGTACATATTGTCATGCACATGAAAGTATTCACTCCAGAGAAAAATGTTATAAATGTAAGCACTGTGAGAAAGCTTTCAGCACATGTACTTATTGTGTAATCCATGAAAAACTTCACACTGGGCAGAAATCATATATATGTAAGAAATGTGGGAAAGCTTTTAGCAGTAACATTAATTGTCAAATACATGAAAATGTTCACACTGGAGACAAACCCTCTGTATGTAAGCCATGTGGAAAAGGTTTCACCCAACTTGGAAATTGTAAGCAACATGAAAGATTTCACACTGGAGAGAAATCCTATGTAAGTAAGGAATGTGGGAAATCTTTTACCACACGTGGACATTGTAAGCAACATGAAAGAATCCACACTGGAGAGAAACCTTATGTATGTAAGCAATGTGGGAAAGCTTTTAACACATGTGCATATTGTAAAATACATGAAAGAATCCACACTGGAGAGATACCCTATGAATGTAAGCAATGTGGAAAAGCTTTTAACACGTACATATTATAAGGAACATGAAAGAATTAACACAGGATAGAAACCCTATGAATGTAAGCAATGTGGGAAAGCTTTTACCACACATGCATAGTGTTAACAAACATGAAAGAATTCAAACTGGAGAGAAATCCTATGTATATAAGCAATGTGGGAAAGCTTTTTCCACACGGGGACATTGTAAGCAGCATGAAAGAATTCACTCTGGAGAAAGACCATATGTATGTAAGCAATGTGGAAAACCTTTTCCCACACATGGAGTTTGTAAGCCACATGAAAGGATTCACACTGGAGAAAAACCCTATGTGTGTAAGTAATATAAGAAAGCTTTTACCAGACATGGACATTGTAAGCAACATGAAAGTTCACACTCAAGATAAACCCAGTGTATATAAGCATCATGACAATGGTGTGACCACACATGCATATTGCATAATGCATGAAAATCTTCACACTGGGCAGAAAACTTATATATGTAAGGAATGTGGGAAAGGTTTCAGCAGAAATTCTCATTGTCCAATACATGAAAAAATTCACACTTTTAAGAAACCCTATGTATCTGAAGAATGTGGGAAAGCTTTCACCACACATGGATATTGTAAAATACATCAATGACTTCACACTGGTGAGAAACACTATGTATATAACAATGTGGCAAAGCTTTTACCGCATACAGTCATTGCAAAACACATGAAACAATTCACACTGGGAAGAACTACTGGCTATGTAAGCAAGTGGAGACACATTCAGTAGCCAGAGTGTAAGTGAAATACATGAAGAAACTCAAACAAGAGATAAATGCTATGTGCTGTGGGAATCCTCTCAGCACACATGATAATTGTTACATATCTGAAGGAGCTCA